GTGGTGGTGATGGTGAGGGGTGGTGGTGGTGAGGGGTGGTGATGGTGAGGGGTGGTGGTGGTGAGGGGTGGTGATGGTGACGGGTGGTGATGGTGAGGGGTGGTGATGGTGAGGGGTGGTGATGGTGAGGGGTGGTGATGGTGAGGGGTGGTGGTGGTGAGGGGTGGTGATGGTGAGGGGTGGTGATGGTGAGGGGTGGTGATGGTGAGGGGTGGTGATGGTGAGGGGTGGTGATGGTGAGGGGTGGTGATGGTGAGGGGTGGTGATGGTGAGGGGTGGTGATGGTGAGGGGTGGTGGTGGTGAGGGGTGGTGATGGTGACGGGTGGTGATGGTGACGGGTGGTGATGGTGACGGGTGGTGATGGTGAGGGGTGGTGATGGTGACGGGTGGTGATGGTGACAGAGGTGGTGATAGCTGTGACAAGAGTGGTGTGCTGGATCAAGTGCATCAGGCAAAATGTAAAGTGTGTGTGGACAAAGACAGGGACACACTCTCGAACACTATATCTTGGATTGTAGTCAAATTGAGCCATTTAGAGATAAATCTAAGCTCACGCCGTCTCATTATCTTATCTTATTACTAAGGATAAAATACCTGAAATCCTTGCACTGTATCTAGGTTTCACTCCCGGTAGATAAACGACATATGAGATTAAGAAACAAGAAGTATATTATGAAGACTAATAATAAACAGCGGCTCCCCAATATCTTAATTGCTCAAACAATTATGTATTAGCGATAAGACCTACCATTAATATATAATGACTTACTGTAAATATATAGCTCTTGAAGCAATTGACGATCACGAAACACTTGAAACAAAACATTCTCTGTCAGAGAGCTGACACTGTAACTACAAGGTGTGAAGGATAGATATAATTGTTTATGTAATAATCTCCGTTGAGGTCTGATAAAGACCTTTTGTGCCCCCAAGTAATCTTTTTTGCGCTACCGCTCACAGGATGAGTACACAATATACTAGCCGCCTCCGGCAACAATCAAAGGCAGGCCTCACCGTGTTTCCACCGACAGGGCTAATTAGCAATCTCAACAGGTAACATATATTAGGCCTACTTACGCACGTGGGCGTGCATGTGCCCATATAATCATGGGTGCAAGCATTACTGTGGGAGCACGTGTGTCAACCCAACACTGCCCCAGCACGACCACGTCTCCCCCCCCCTCCCCGTGCGCCATTTGTAAAGTGTCAGAAATCATGGACCTTTTTTTGTTTATGACAATAGCCAGAGCTCATGGTGACTGGCACGCACTCCCTGATAACAACTCCCTGGTTATAACAGAACAGTGGCTGCATTACCTTTCACCAGCCGGGATGGGGGTTCTGGGAGAGGTAGGTAACCGAGATGGGAGTTCTGGGAGGGGTAGGTAACCGAGATGGGGGTTCTGGGAGGGGTAGGTAACCGAGATGGGAGTTCTGGGAGGGGTAGGTAACCGGGATGGGGGTTCTGGGAGGGGTAGGTAACCGAGATGGGAGTTCTGGGAGGGGTAGGTAACCGGGATGGGAGTTCTGGGAGGGGTAGGTAACCGAGATGGGAGTTCTGGGAGGGGTAGGTAACCGGGATGGGGGTTCTGGGAGGGGTAGGTAACCGGGATGGGGGTTCTGGGAGGGGTAGGTAACCGAGATGGGGGTTCTGGGAGAGGTAGATAAGTGAGATGGGAGTGCTTTTATCAGTCAATACCTCCCAGCAAGTGAGTAAAGCTTCTCAGCAGCCTGCCCCCTAGCTCAAGTACCTCTACATCTCCCAGAATACCCCAACAGCAAACGTATTTACCTCGACGCTCTCCACCCGCTAACCTAAACTGTAAAGTTGCACGACAAGGTGGTTCCACTCTTGCCTTCTCACAACCCATCTCCCATGCGGTTGTGATTTCTCTGTACAGCTACCACCGTGTACACCAATGGTGCAACGCCATGCGCACCACTCATGCATCACACGGTGTGACGCATGAGTGGTGTGACCCCTTGTGTCAGGTGTGTCGTCACTCAACACGCCAGACTCGTCACCAACGACGACAACTTCAACGCCCCGTGTTAAACAACATTCCAATCCTCCCCCCGCCCCACGATATATTTGTGTACTGCCTCCTCTTGTATAACACACCACAAACTGGGTCTACTCGCCACGCGTCCTTAACAAGAATGTTATCTCCTCGGGAATGATAACACTGAAGGGCTTTTTTTGGTGTATTCTTCGTTTGATTATTAAACGAATTGTATTCCTGAGTCCTTTCTCAAGATAAGTTTACCCTTCCCTAAACAAGTAGCCTACCACTCTCTCTCTCTCTGCCTCTCCCTTACACACGTGGGTTCAGTAACATAAAGAGTTCTAACTTCCTGTTAGTTGACTGACAGTTTCCCTTCCCATAGGTAAACATAACCCACTATCTTGAGGTTATCTTGAGATGATTTCGGGGCTTTAGTGTCCCCGCGGCCCGGCCCTCGACCAGGCCTCCACCCCCAGGAAGCAGCCCGTGACAGCTGACTAACTCCCAGGTACCTATTTACTGCTAGGTAACAGGGGCATTCAGGGTGAAAGAAACTTTGCCCATTTGTTTCTGCCTCGTGCGGGAATCGAACCCGCGCCACAGAATTACGAGTCCTGCGCGCTATCCACCAGGCTACGAGGCCACTAGTTTGTTGTGCTTGCCTGGCACACGACCCGCCAGTCGGTTAACCTCCAGGTACCCAATTACGTCTGGGTGAACACCGGCGAGTAGTTAATAACTGGCGCGTAATTAATCCTCCCTGACCAGGACTCGAACCCCGACCAAATCACTTAACGGGGCGAATGCGTTACCTTCCCTGCGCCACCAGGGGGGGGGGGGCACAAATGAAATGAGAACGACGACCCTTGGGTTCGTGTTAGCCTTGATAAGAGTCCAGGATGGACGGAAACGTCGTTGCTTTCATTTCGTACCTCAGGGAGGCCTGGTCAGTGGCCGGCCAGCAGGGACATTGATCCCCGAAATCAACACAAGGTATGGACTGGGTTATCTGTTTCTCCCACGCTATTATAAATAATTCTCTTCCTGCTTAAAAAAAAGGGTAATTAAAACTGCAGGTGATGTCGTAACGAGTAACGGCTCAGGTGACGTCTTCCCGGTGGCATATTCATGGGAATTCCTCAGTTACGACACCACCGAGGCTCCTGGCCCCCAGAGCGCTTGCATGCGCGCGCACACATTACCAGCCCCGCCGATTCCTGAATTAATAGGAAGACCGGGTACTAGCCGTACTGCCGGAACCGGACTGGAATTGTGAAGTACTCTCTCAAACACACACGCACACACACAGAAGAGTACTCTACAAACTTGAGAGTCAGGCGAGAGTAGACGGAAACGCATTATCGTGGGTAAGGAATTACCTGACAGACAGGTGTCAGAGTGACAGTGAGGGGGCGAGGAGTCGGACTGGCGTAGAGTAACAAGGGGGGGGGGGGCGGGGTGCCTCAAGGATCGGTGCTGGGTCCCATACTATTCCTCATTTATGTCAATGACTTGACTGCAGGAGTTGTCTTTTGTGTCAATGTTTGCAGATGATGCAACACTAATGAGGAGGGTTGAGACAAATGAGGATTGTAAGATTCTCCAGGATGACTTGAACAGGTTGCAGAGATGGTCCGAGAAATGGCTGCTAGGGTTCAACACTAACGAGTGCAAGGTGATGGAAATGGGAACAGGAGACCGAAAGCCCAATATACGATGAAGGGAAAGTACCTCCCTATAACGTCTAGAGAAAAAAAAACTGGGAGTGGACATAACACTAAACCTAACTCCAGAAGCTCATATAAATAGAATAACGTCAGCCGCATACTCTACTCTGGCAAAACTTAGAACATCCTTCAGAAACTTGAATAAGGAGACTTTTAGATCACTGTATACCGCTTATGTGAGGCCAGTCTTGGAGTATGCCGCACCATCATGAAGCTCCCCATCTTAAACACATAAGGTGAAGTTTGCAACGAGACTCGTCCCAGAGCTGCGAGGGATGAGGTACGACGACAGACTGAAGGAACTAAACCTGACGACGTTAGAAAAGAGGATGGAGAGGGGGGGGGGAGGACATGATACAGACGTATAAAATATTTAGAGGGATTGACAAGGTGGAAACAGAGGAAATGTTTACAATGAATAACAATAGAACAAAGGGGGGGGCAATAGAACAAGGGGGGCAATAGAACGGATGGAAGCTTGAGACTCAGATGTGTCATAGAGATGTTAGAAAGTTTTCTTTTAGCGTGAGGGTAGTGAGTAAATGGAATGACCTAAAGGAGCAGATTGTAGAGGCTAACTCCATTCATAACTTTAAGAGCAGGTATGATTGAAAAATAGACCAGGAGTCATTGCATTAGACAATCAACGGCTAGATGACCGGGGTCCAAGACTCGATCCTGCCGGCACAAATAGGCGAGTACAAACACACACACGTGAGTAGGTATGAACATAAGAACAAAGGTAACTGCAGAAGGCCTATTGACCCATACGAGGCAGCTCCTATTTATAACCACCCAATCCCACTAATATCCATGTCCAACCCACGCTTGAAACAATCGAGGGACCCCCACCTCCACCACGTTACTCGGCAATTGGTTCCACAAATCAACAACCCTGTTACTGAACCAGTATTTACCCAAGTCTTTCCTAAATCTAAACTTATCCAATTTATACCCAAAGTATGTTATCTAGTTTTAGTTTTGAGAAGTTTTGTTACTAGGTTGAGTACACTCGGTAACAAAAATGATATGAGAAGAGGCGATGAGTCACAATAACGTGGCTAAAGTATGTTGACCAGACCACACACTAGAAGGTGAAGGGACGACGACGTTTCGGTCCGTCCTGGACCATTCTCAAGTCGATTGTCACAATCGACTTGAGAATGGTCCAGGACGGACCGAAACGTCGTTGTCCCTTCACCTTCTAGTGTGTGGTCTGGTCAACATGAGAAGATGGGTTTAGGAAAAGACGGGTTATGGTGGTAGGGGGACAGTAGGGAGGTTTGGAGGAGAGTGAAGAGGCGGGTACATTTACCTTAATTTTTTTTAAAGAAGCAAACGACGACTCGGTGTTATTTCGCCGCAGAATGAACATATACACGCATTCACAACACGTGAAACATCTTGCTTATAATGGCTTCTTCACCAACATCTCTCACTCGCCACCAACTTAAAAGTCACCTGCCAACCCTCTCACTTGCCATTCAAATCACTCACTCGCCAGCCAGATCACTCACTCAATTACTAGCTCTTACATTCGCTCACTGCCTCTCAATCACTCTCAAGAGCGAAACAAATGCCACAGACAACCTTCTCGCGTTACAATGAGAGCTGGCAGAAGATGCCCGGAATAGATTACCTAGACTGGCTTACGTGAGGTAAAAATAAGGATTGCTGGCATACTTTCATGATAACGGCGCTACACTTCTTGACTATCAATGATAACACTTACGATGCTCCACAAGATATCAAGTTCTGTTTTCCAACGTGCAAGCCACTGACCGTAGAACATCAACAAATACGGAATACAGTACCTGTCCTTATACAGTGCATAATGAAGCTACACATATTAAAACTACAATCATATCATGGGAGAAGCTCTTAATTACTTTAACTCTTGATGGAGGTTTCGGCTAATAAGAGTTCAACAATGCTATCTATGCTATGCTATCAGTGGTCACCATTTTAAAGCTCAGCTCTAGCTCATGCATCATCAATACCGTATTTAGAATCAACTGTAAACTATAAACGACTACCTTACCAGCCGAGGGAATGTTATTGTACAATAAACCTCGAGTCTTTGGTATCACAATTTGATCACCAGTACATGTAAAAACAAAACAAAAAAATGTGTGAATTTACCTGTAGTCCCGAATCCGAGCGCTGCATGAAATACAATCACTTGTACAATTCATCCATCAACACAAATGTATAATACAACTATCGTTATCATTGTAAACCTGACCGTTATTAACTGGATTCTCTAATGTGACAAGCTTTTCTTACCCACAAATTTGGGTGAATTTGCAGCAGTCAACTACTGGATTAAAAAAGTTGTCATCAATAACAGAAGCCTACATAAACTAACCTCTACTGTCTGCACCTTAAGTGAGGTCAATATACCGTCTTGAAAACCAATCCATTAAAGAAACATATTAGTATATGAATAGGTGCAGTTAAAGTATACTGATTAGTCCTAATGGGAATGTCTGTGCATTTAATACAAAGAGGTACAGTGAAGGATAAGCATTATCCACTAATATAAATCAAGATGACACTGGGAAGAGCAAAATACAAAAAAAAAAAGACAGCTCTGGCATTTGCTAGACACCGCTGCACTAACAGCAAGTAACACTAACTAGCAGCAGCAGCAGCAGCAGTTACTGGTAGCAAAGTGCCATTTTCCAGGTACATACCTTAAATCCTCGAGCGCGCTTACAACACACACACGCAAGGAGGGTGACAAGAGAGGAGAGCAGTGCGGCAACACCAAGGGCCGCGTGGATATAGTCCCTGCTGCTCCACCCACTCTCCCTGCCCAGTCCTGTGGAGTAAACAAAGCACATCTTACAAAAGTCACCCCCACACATTTTGCAACAACTGCCACCAAAAGACCCGATAGACAGTATTTAGAAACTGAAAATAAAGACTGACTCAAATAAATCTGTAGCTTGATGACTAGTAACCCCATTGACGTCTGTGTTCAAGAGTCCAGGCTAAAAACGCGTGTATCATAATAAATGCTAACAAAGTAATGCCAATATTTGCTAAAAGTAACCAATTGTAATATATAGTACAGTATGTATTCATTGTTTAAGAGCCTTATATGTTGAGTCCCTCAATACCATTTTATTATTATTAGACTAAGCTAATCAATATACAAATTTAAGATGTCCAAGAAGTAATTAATTATTAAAAGAATGCACCAAGGAGGTGCAGGAAATCTTATCTCAGACATTACATTTACTAATAAATACAAAGGTTCATCACACTTAAAAAATAAGTAGGCCTACAATATTCTGTAATATATAGTACGATTTTTTTTTACTTGAGCAGAACTGTCTAACAAAGGCAGGTACAATCAAGTCCATCATGATGCACTTGGCTCAGTTCCTGCCACCTACTTATCCTATTAATCAGTAGAATTTAATCACAAAAATACCTTGAGTGTACCTTGTTTCTTGTACTTCCTTCCTATACCACGAATTTAAAGTTAGTCTCATTAATAATTTACGTTTATTGCCAAGGGTCCTTTCTCAAGTCTCTTTGTACATTGAATGAACAGCTATTTATATTTCTGATTATTTGTAACAAAGATGACTAAACTAAGGGTTATATGTTTGCAAATGAGGCACTTAGCACTTTTAAAACTGTGTAGGTAGGCCTAGCTAACATAACTTCAACATTAAAATAAGTGAAGACACGGTGACTTAGGTCTACGCGTCAGGTTTGATATATCATTTGTATTATTTATTAGACCAAGTATTCAAATTGGCCCACTGATAAGCTCTACGTTTTATGAACACTGTATATATATTATATTAAAACATGATGAAACAAATGCATTGCATTATGAAATATTTACTGTGCTTGTGAACCAAACATTAATGTCTCCCACCGAGAAACTGAACCTGGTCTCGCCTCTCAGTAGGATAATTACATTTTAAAATTCAATTCAACTAAAAGCTTAAATCTATCACATTTAGCCCAAGTCTAATTTAATTACAGGGAGGTGTTCGGGGGAAGAATATACTTCACAACAGCCTAAATCTGTTTTTTTGTGTTGAGATTTTACATTAATGTCTATAAAATACATAGGCTACTCTATAAAGAATCGATAGGTTGACAATTTACTAAGTATGCATACATAGCCTACATACGGCACACATCTGTACTGTAAGCCTGTGTTTTGTCCTAATAGCCTACACGCTAATTGAATAACTAAGTAAAGACAAACTTTTTGGACTTTTATTTTTATCTCTGTAGGGTTCGCAAAAGGAAATGACATAAGTGACGGAAACCGGGACCAGAGGCCTACCTATTTTTTGTTGTTAATCAGGTTGTAATGCAACTGACAGTATGCCTTATTTCCCAGACGTGGGTAGGCTGATATCTCTGCCGAGGTGGTGTTCACTAGACATGTAGTTGAGTAGCCTAGACGTCTGTCGGAGACCATCCCTCAGCATGCCATTAAGCAGTATCCTACCTCATCCTACAGTTCATAACAGGAGCATCCCTGTGTCCTGGGATTTCTATGTTAACAACGTGTTCTCTGGAGTATTTTTATGGATAAGTGATGAAAACATTTGGAAGGCATACACTTAAATTTAATTTAAAATATAGTACTGTAAACCTAAGCTGTAATGTTTAAAATTTTGAAAGGTAAAAATCAAATGATTGATGTAGAAGTCTAAATACGATACCTATGCTAGATAGCTATATGCAGGCTATATATGTACGGTATATACCAACAAAATTATATAGGCCTACTGCAATGGAAAAATACTAGTAAGCCAATAGTACCAGACTAAAGTAGACTAGTGACTATACCTATACTGTAACTTACCAACATGATATACAGTTGTCTACAAACATTATGATAAAACCTAATGCAGCAAACATCATGACAGCCTAACTGGCGACCATCTATCCGGCTATATTCTGTTATCCGTTTTGGGTTTGTCCGAATAAAAGATTAATCTTTTATTCGGACTAATCCGAAAGTCCGATTAATTTGGTCGAGGCTGATCCCAAACCTGCACACAGAAATAACATCACATGAGACCAGAAGACATGGCAGGATGTGCAGAATACCCCCGTTGAAAAGCAGAGGTGCAACAGGTACTCAGAGAGAACTTTATCAACATCAGAGGCCCGAGACTGTTCAACACGCTTTCACCACACATAAGGGGCATGACTGGCAGACCCCTCACAGTGTTCAAGAGAGAACTGGATAAGCACCTCCATAGGATACCTGATCAACCAGGCTGTGACTCATACGTCAGGCTGCGAGCAGCCGCGTCCAACAGCCTGGTTGATCAGTCCAGCAACCAGGAGGCCTGGTCGACGACCGGGCCGCGGGGACGCTAAGCCCCGGAAGCACCTCAAGGTAAGTAGGCAGGCACTCAAAATAAAAATGTGCAATCTCGCCAGGCCTCCTCGCTTCTCGGTGCAATGAAACCGGCGAGACCGCTGGGTGATGATATGGGATGCGTTGGTGGGAGATGGGCTTAATATGCCCACTGACCATCTATCCATGAGACGTCACAGATTCACGGCCCATTGTCTTCATTTGTCATAAGACTGGTGCGTTCATTCCGTGATTTTGCTAGATATAGCGTTAAAAATGTCGGCTATACCAACAGTGAAATATTGTATCTACAATACAAGATATACGTGTTAGTGGTTTTGCAAGGATGTACAAATACCTAAGAATGTATTTCACAAACCCATTGTAGACGATGAGCCACAATAACGTGGCTTGAAGATATGAGAACTAAACCACACACTAGAAGATGATGAGACAACGATGTTTCGGTCCGTGCTGGACCATTATCACGTCGATTGTGATAATGGTCACAATCGACTTGATAATTATTGGTCCAGGACGGACCGAAACATCGTCGTCTCAGCTTCTGGTGTGATTTTGTTCTCAAACCCATAGTACCTTCTTGTAAATAAAATTATTATTATTATTATTAGGTCTGCTATAATGTACCAATATTGGGCTATTCTATACGGTACCAATATTGGGCTATGCTATACGGTACCAATATTGGGCTATGCTATACGGTACCAATATTGGGCTATGCTACACTGTAGCAATATTAGGCGATGATATATAGTACCAATTTTAGCCTGTGCTATACTGTACCAATGTTAGGCTATGCTATACTGTACCAATATTATACTATGCAATACTGTGCCAATATTAGGTATACTGTAATGAACTGCCATTAGGCCTAGCCTAGGCCAGGCTGTGCTTATTTTAGACCTATGTTAAGGCTACTGTACAATCATCATTCCGGAATAAAAGAGACTGAGAAAATGTGCATTAATATTCTACTGGTATAATAAGCTCAAATTACATCCAAGGAATCTTTGAATATTATCATGTAAAAATATAAGTGAATATTATAAGTAATATAATATGAATATAAGTAAAAATATATATAACTAGAATTTGCCTAAGAATACAATTATGATATTATTTAACTTTTTAAAACTAGCATCAGATATGAGATATCTCATATCAGATGATAATTATATGCAAAGATATGATTAATAGTACTCATAAATAGTACTAGCACTTAATAGTAATAGTAGGCAGATATGATTAATAGTACTCAGAAAACTCGCACCTAAATCTGAAATAGCAAGTATAAATTTACCCACATTAAAAAATTTGGGCCTTGGCCAGCTTGTCATTTTTTCTGATAAAGTTGGCACTATGTTTTTTTTTATATGAAGTAAACTTCTAACAAGGAAAAATAATTCCAAAATGTTAAAACATAACCATATATGATACAGCTCTAGAAATACTGGTACAGCCTTAGAGGGTTCTTACCATTGGGTGGTATGGGATACGAGACGACCTGGTAGACGCTCCCGGCCACCAAGATGCACACAACCACCACATTCCCACACCCCATTATTTTTTTTTTTACTAGAAATGGGCTATTTTCAAGATGACACACACCGATAATACACTAGGAAAGGCTCACCGAACCTTTCTAACGGCACACGGCACATCATTGTTTTTCTTAATGAATTTTCATAATTTCACGGTACCGAATTGAATTTTTTCCTTTATTATTAACATGTGAAATATCACTTGGCCCCGAACACATTATTATACATTTATCTTTATATTTTTTGAGTATGTATGATCCGAGTGGGCAAGGATGCACTTGATTATAGGTGGTAATACACGATTTTCAGTGTGTATGTGGTGTATTTGCACCAAATATCTGATCCCAATTTTACTACCGGTATGTAGCCTGAAAAAAAGAAAGAAAACTGTTCAAAGTTAAAGCATAAAAAAGTCACAAGCCTACAGAATAATTCTTTTATTGAAAAAGGTATTTCCACATAATACATATTATAATACATAATATATGCATTATAATATACTATAATATATACAAGACAAAATGATATAATACACAATATATATCATACATACCATTAAATAATTCGTTCTAAACAAAAATATCAGATTTGTTACTCAAATATAAGCATATTAAATTTATACAAGTAGGTCAAGTCCCCCCCTCAAGTGGCATGTTAAACTGATCTGACAGCTTCATAACCATATTAATTGCCAACCTCTGATATATGTCCTCATGTGAGCTGCAGGAACAGTGTGAGGCGGGGCTCATGATAGGAACATGGGGGTAAATAATCAACTCCACCTACTAAGTCATTTAACCCTCCACCGGTTGAGGTTGAAATCAGACATTTCCCATACTGAGCCAGCCTTTGTGAGGCCCCTCACGCGGCCTCACACTTAGCCTGGTGGGTAACAAGCCTCATGCTGTGAGACAGCAAGTGTCATGAGTGACTCATGGCTGGCCACCACAGCACCGCCTTCCTCGTTATTGCCTCATCGCCCCTCCTCTCACCCTCCACCACAGTCATACACTTCTCTTTCTCTCTCTCTCTCTCTCTGGTGAGCAATTCTCACCCTGCGGCAGACTTACCACCCTACTCATCACACTCACTGCCTCAAGTTTCCATCACAACAAACAAAAACAATCAAAGTTTTGGAGTACTAACTACCCCTTCACCGTTAGATTCCACAGATTTGCTCTTTTTTCTAACATGTTCTGGCAACTGTCTTTCAGTATGAATTTATGGTCGATAAGGTGTCTAGAAATCACAATACATTAATCTTGAAAGGTATAATATTTCTAGAGGAGGGAAACGTACCTAACTTATAGGGAGCGTGAAGTACAACCTTCCACGGACACTCACACACCTGCACTGACTGTTTACACCCGTGGCGGTGGCCAGTTGACATTGTTGCCACCACTTGCACATTCTCTCTCCCTTCTAATTCTGCAAAATTATATCAGGAATTTAGTCCATTAACTTCTTAAAACAAAGTAAAGAGCTAGGTAATCGTATGATTAATAAATAAATAATATTATTCATAGAATAGGGCATACGAAAAATCATTTATCAGTCAAATTTAGCAAAATTGACGTCTGAGTATTTGAAAATCCCCCGCTGAAACTCCCACTAGCGAATTTGGTATCATTGCGCTCGAGCCACACGTCACGTTCGTACGCTCAAAGAGTATTGTTGTACTCCAGCCTCGGTTTTTCTGTTCATACTTCGAATTGTAAACGTTTACCAAGGAATATTTACATCGAATGATGTATTCAGGTTTCGGTGCATATACTATGCACTGCTGGCCTTTCTAATCATTCAGATATTGACTGATATAAAGCTCAACGCTATAAGCTAATATATGTTTACCAAATGGTGATGCCGTCGCGTATATTACATTAACCTACTATTATATTTCTTTGACAGTTTAGCAGCAGAGCATTAGTTTATGATATGCTAAGCTTGGTTACGTTGATTGTAAGTTAAGGCAGTTAAAACAAATTCCATACAGAATTGGGCATGTATCTATATATAGCAATTCCTATAAACAAACAAAATGATGCATATAAGCTAATTTATGTCGGACACAAAGATTATTATGTATTAACATGACGATATGGTGTATGCAAATAGGCGCCTCATCTAACACAGTGTGAAGGTGTAGCGTGTGTGTATCACCCATGTTTGGTTGATGTGTGTGGGAGGAGACGAGGGAGGTGTACTCTTTATTATACTCCGTTTTCTTATCATATTTATATTTAAATCTACGTATTGAATCGCCGTAACAACAACGTCCTTATCTAATCCACACCACTTATTTACAATCCTTCACTTTGCCTTGTAATGTGGGTTTGTGTTTAACCTCTTTAACTGGTCGGTGGAGAGAAAGTAATTTTTTTGATGATCCACTTGTGGCTGGACACTTTTTTTTTTACCCAATCCAATTAATTTTCCAAGTGTTATATAGTCATACTGGCTTAGTACTGTCTCCTCATAATTACCTTACATTGGGCTCAAACCTGGTGCTGCGTTTAGTCCTGTATTATTTGCTATGTGCTACCCATATATATATATATATATATATATATATATATATATATATATATATATATATATATATATATATATATATATATATATATATATGAAAACTCACAGGAACACAAATGCAAACAAGCCTGAATGGTCCCCAGGACTATATACAACTGAAAACTCACACCCCAGAAGTGACTCGAACCCATACTCCCACAACTGGTATGTACAGGGACGCCTTAATCCGCTTGACCATCACGACCGGACATAAGGAAGTGATAGCCGAGGCTATATGAACCACTTCCCCGCCGGCACTCGGATGGTAATCTTGGGCATAGCATTTTATCAAATCACCTCATTCTTTGGGGAACACGTGAGGAACACAAATGCAAACAAGCCTGAATGGTCCCCAGGACTATATACAACTGAAAACTCACACCCCAGAAGTGACTCGAACCCATGAATATGAACCCACTTCCCCGGCCGGCGGGGAAGTGGTTCATATAGCCTCGGCTATCACTTCCTTATGTCCGGTCGTGATGGTCAAGCGGATTAAGGCGTCCCTGTACATACCAGTTGTGGGAGTATGGGTTCGAGTCACTTCTGGGGTGTGAGTTTTCAGTTGTATATAGTCCTGGGGACCATTCAGGCTATATATATATATATATATATATATATATATATATATATATATATATGATCCATTGTTGAAAGAGATAATAAAAACCAGTCGAGCTGGCTGTTGTATAGACAATATTAAGACCAATGTTTTCTGTTATGCTAATTATACTCTAACCGACCAAAGGTGCCATGGAAACATTGATAGAAATATGTGAAAGGTGTAATGTAGTTTATAGCTTAATGTGCAGATGTGCAGATTAATGTTATAGCTTAATCTCCTGCAAAATGTGCAGTAGTTGCCTTTAACTCACAGGATTAGTTTCACACTTAACCCAAACTAAACTTACTAGGCAGAAAGCTTCCTTTAAAGTACAACTTAAGAATGAGTGATGTATATAATGGTATGGTGGGTATGCGGGACAAAATAAAACAAGTTGTCTGCAGAGAAAGCTGGGAGATACCCAGCTGGATATCTGTAGTTGTGACGGAACTATATTGTCACAAATGGATTACTGACAGCAATTTTGAGTCTTAGTGAAGTCAGATATACGTTGCATCAACTGTACATCGGGAGTGATTCTGATGCAGGATAGCCCTAGAAGCTGTTGATGTAGAATCCTGAGGGTGTGCAATTTTTTATGTAACACGTGGAATGAGTGATGTATTAGTTTATATTAGTTCGTTGAATTGGCTCATCATCCTTCTTTTGTGGTGTAAAACGTGACAATATCGGTCTCGTCGCTCGATGGTAAAAAACACTTTATTTTTCCAAAATATATATATCAGTTTTCAAATTGTAATCTAAATATTGCTCACTTTATACAAAAAAATGTAAAGGTTGATTTAGAGTGATGTTCACCTGATAGTTCAGCCGTTATTGTAGTGATTTGTACAAGATATTATGAACAAAGGTTATGATTCTGAATTTGACAACTGTAATGACTTTAATTACATATAAATGTAGCTTCTAAATTTATATCGAAATCTTGAGTATACACTTTATAATTACAGATATTAAATGTTATGTTACAAAGGGGTACCACCTCTGGTGGTGCAATTGTAGGGACCCATAGCCTCGGAGAAGAGAATTTAGAGTATTCAGAGGAAAACGTCGTTTGACTCTAAATACGTATGAGTATTCGCTTTTCCTATCACCCCCTTTTTATTATATTTTGTACACTTTATTATGTTTTTTAGGGAAATTTTGGAAAATTAACACAACTATAATTCTACAAATATTTATGAAGTCTTTAAATTTGAATTTGAATTATATGCACGCGCCTAGAGTTGCGTTGGCTTCTATCCCCTGTCCTACAAGTCAGTTTTAAGTTTCAAGAGTGTTTTAATGCGATGTCTCCATTTTCTCTCTTTTTCTTAACGCGACTTAAAATTAGACACCTAGTCTACACGTCTGAAAATTAAAGATGTGTGTTTATTAATTATGCAGCCTATCATATCTTGTTAATTTTCCTGGGAGTCACTTTTTCCATGCTATTCTCTCTACGATTTTTCAGATTTTCTGGTAACTCCTTTTATTAGTCTTCCTCTGTCTCGCGCTCTTCATCTGTTCCAAGTCGTATGGTTTGGCGCTTTCCTTTGATAATTCTCTCCCTCCCTCACGTTCTTCATCTGTCTACACCATACATTGCCATTACCTTTTATACAAATAAATTACAGTGATCATTGCTTTCATTAGTATTTCATGTTTGATATTCTAAATATTCATATAGGTCGGGGGTTTGCTCTCTCCCCCCCGACGGTCCAAGTGGATGAAATTCCCACGATAGAGGTATACAAGGGGTGACATACACGTCACAAATAAGCAGCATACGCACATCTCCTGTGCCAGGTAAGTATGACGGGCTCACCAAAGCCTTGCTTTTGCAGTCCGTATTCGTACTGAAAATTAGGATCAAACCAGCATTTGCCCTTTTGCGCTACGCGAGGTTTCTGGCCACATCGAGCTGGCCTTTGGACACCTGTATTTTCATCTGACAAATGAAAGTCCCAACTCCCCACCTGACAATGTTCTCGGGGCAGACGTTACAATGACGGTCCACATGTATAAAGTCAATCTGGCCCATTGCCGTAGTTAAATCACTTCGGCGCCTTGTCGCTAATGCTGCTACCAGAATAGTCACCCAGGAAGCGGAAGACACGTTGAAAGCATAACAGCTCGGTTTAGTATTTCTCAGGAGTGTGAAGGGCAGCTCCAGCATACACTGCCAACATCACATACGAAAAAGCATTCATAAAAATTGGATTTAAGAAATTCCTCCATCTCAGTCAAAATATAATATGGAATCTGGTTGAAATACGTCCATTTATCCATGTTTTACATGCACTCCGCTCCTTTATACATGTCATATATACTTATTTACTGCTAAGTACCCGAGAGTTAAGCAACTGTTGACTTACTTAACTGTGTCGCTTGGGATAGTGCACTCGTTGGAACTGGGAGGACCTCGATAAACTTGACAGGCTTTCTGTTCACGACAATGGAAAATCATTCAAGCTCGCACTGTAATTTGTGCTACCCACTCCCCCATTATATATGCCTGAGACAGGCATCTTCACCATTGTAATCAATGCTATCAACTTATATTATGGTTGTTATGTTGACCGTAAATTTTACTACAATGTACCTATTAATAATCCTCAAATTATGCTACAATATGCCTATTGATAATTCTCAAATTTTCTTACAATGTACCTATTATTTTTTTCAAATTTTCCTACAATGCACCTATTAATAATCTTCAAATTTTACTACAATGCACCTATTAATAATCCTCAATTTTACTACAATGCACCTATAAATTTTTTTCAAATTTTCACAATGTATCTTATATTCTTCATATTTTACTACAAATTACCTACTTAAAATTATCTGTTAGATTAAGGACCTGCCCGAAACGCTATGCGTGTTAGTGGCTTTGCAAGAATGTAAAAACTTCAATGTTATGTACTCTGATAAATCCAATGTACCTTCTTGCATATATATAAATAAATAAATTCACTTAATTTATTCACTTCAATAAATTCACTTCAAGTTTATGCCCGAAACGCTTTGCGTAATAGTGGCTTTAGGCATTGTATGTACTAGCTCTACCTATAAGTCAACAGAATCTTTGTACTGTAACGCTATTGTATGTATGTACCTTACCTAAATAAATTATTATTATTTAATTTTTAATTTTTTTCACTTGTAATCATCGAGACG